GTGCAGTGCCTTCAGCACAGGCTGAATGTGCTCCCGTATTGGGAAGCCCATCAACAGCCTGGTTGAAGCATTTTGCACCAGCTGTAGCTTCCGAATTTGTGATAAGGGCAGCCCCATGTAGAGAACATTACAGTACAACCTTGAGGTGACCATCGCATGGATCACCGTTGACAAGTCGTTGTGTTCAAGGAAGGGAACCAGCTGCCTAATCAGCCGAAGAAGATAGAAGGCCAACTTGGCAGTGGCTGTTACCTAGGCCTCCATTGTTAAGGAGGCATCCAGGAGCACTCCCAACCTCCGGCGCTGGCGCTAACGGAGCCCTATTGAAGGTCGGGAGTGGGATCCCTACCCTTGGTCCACCCCGACTCAGGCACAGGACCTCCGTCTTCATCAGGTTCAGTTTCAACCGGCTCAGCCTAAGCCAACCAGCCATGTCTTGTAACACCCAGTCAAGATCTTCCAGTTTGGAGTCGGACTGGCTGCCCAACAACAGAAAGAGCTGGGTGTCATCAGCGTACTGGTGACACCCCAGCCCATGTCTCCATGCAATCTGGGTAAGGGGACGCATGTAGATGTTAAATAACATTGGGGACAGCACCGCCCGCAGAGGCACTCCACAATCAAGTGGGTGCCTTCAGGAAAGCTGTTCCCTCAGCGCCATCCTTTGTCCCCGGCCTTGGAGGAAGGAGACAAGCCATTGCAAAGCAGGCCCCTGAATTCCAACGCTGGTGAGGCAGTGGGCCAGTAGCTGATGGTCGACAGTGTTGAATGCAGCTGACAGGTCCAACAACAACAGAACTGTCACTCTGTCTCGATCCAGATGCCTCCGGAGATCATTTGTGAGGGCGACCAGAGCCTTCTCCGTCCTGTGACCTGGGCGAAAGCCGGACTGGAAGGGATCTAGGATGGAAGCATCATCCAAAAAGCTCTGCCACAGCTCTCTCTATTAACTTGCCCAGATAGGGCAAGTTGGAAACTGGCCGATATTTCGCCAATTCGGCCGGATTCAGAGATGGTTTTTTAAGGAGAGGATGTACCACTGTTTCCTTAAGCGCTCCTGGGAACAGTCCCTCCGAGCAGTGGTCGTTTCATAGAAAAAGAGCTAGGGGAACTCATTAGCATAACTCATTAGCATATGCCATACCCCCTGACATCACCGGAAGTGACCCATCCACTGGTCCCTTGTCCTACAGTTACGAGACACTGTTAAATAAACAAAATATTAAAAGAGTGCCAATGTTTTCAGCATGTTTTTATTTTAAGAAAAAACCTTTTCCTGTCTGTGTCCTTTATGAAGTTTCTATCTCCGCTACCGGTCATGACCTTTTTACGACACACACGCGCCCGGCCCTTCATCACAAATGAGTGCCACACCCCAGTTTTAAGCTATTAAGAGTCTGGCTCAATCCTTAAAAGGAATTAAACTTTGGTTGGATAACAAGTATTGCGCGTAGAGCCGCCCCATCCCCGCTTCAAAATGTCCAGAATTGCTCCCGTTTCAGCGGTGCACAAAAAGGGCGCCTCTGAGAAGGAGACAGGGAAGCCCCACAGAGCCCCCCGCCCAGCCAGGGGCCGAAGTGCGCAGGCCGGGACCGCTCTCGGCAGGGCCCTCAGGCGATGGGAAGCAGAAGGCTGAGGGCGGGGCCGGGGCTGGAAGGAAGAGCCACTCTGGGCCGCCTCGGCGTCCATCACCCGGCAGCATTGCTAGGGCGCCCGGAAGTGCCTCCTGCTTGGTCTCCGTGGCAACGGCCATGGTGGCCCGCCGGCGACAAAGGGCCTCAGCTCCGCTCGGCGCGCCTCTCGATCTCCCTCTCTCGCTGAAGGGCGGGAAGCCGTGGCAGCAGGAGCAGCACCAGGGGCCCCGTGCAGCGCCACAGCCCTCCGCTTGCCTCCCGCCCTGGGGCCAGAAGGCCGCCGCCGCCACGTGCCCAAGGCGGGACCCCACGGGTGGGCTGGCGGAGGAGTGGGCTCACTCGCTGCCTGCCTGGCCGGGCGGGGCCTGGCGGGTGAGGGGCTTGGCTCTCCCTCTTCTCCTCCTTCTCGGCGGCGCTGCCGGTAGCCGGGTGCTCTGGTGCCGGGCATGGCTGGGCCGGCCATCCGGATTGTGGACCAGCTCATTCTGGAGAAGGACTATGACGAGATCTACATCCCCAGCGCGCAAGGCGGGGGCGGCGGGTGCCCCTCCCCCCGCACCTCACCCGGGGGGACTGCAATCCCCTGCAATCCCCCCGAATTGACCTCTGCCTCCGAGAGGGACTTGTTGACTATTTCCCTGAGGGCACCTTGAAACCCCTTGCATTGTGGTTTGTTAGATTCAACAAAAATAAAACAACTATATAATTAAATATAGCTTTGTATGATACAAGATAAAGAAGTTAATTGGGCATTTCTTTTTTAAAGGCTACTGTTTATTGATAAAGAGTAATGTAATTTTAGGCAGAAAGGCGCTCTCAGATTCAGTGGTTTTCTATATCTTTTAAACTCTATAACCTTTTTACTTATCTGATTTCTTTTCTAAACGATGTCTATTCTGATTCAAAACTCCAAATTCTTTACTAGCAAAATGCAAATTGTGTGTTCAGAATAAATTAACTCACACCTGTATGCACTGCTCTCTAAAATTTATGTTGATTCCAATATTTGGGAATTTACAGACTTTGGCAAAGACTAAAATGGGGGGGGGAACAAGAGAAGAAGATCTCTAAATCTGGAGAATGTACAGTGGGACAGGGGATTGATCAATACAGCAGAAGAGAGTAAAATGATTAATTACGTGTTTATCCCATCCTTCCTTCAAGCAGCTCAGGATGGAATGAACTTTCTTCCATTCATTCTCACACCAGCTCTCTGACAGATTAGGCTGAATGTAAGGCTAAGTGAGGATGAGACAGGATGAATGTAAGGCTGAATTTCGTTGGGAAAGTTAGGTTGAATGTTGGTTAGGTTGAGTGAAGGTGACCCAAAGTCACCCAGTGAGCTTCACAGAAGAACTGGGTTTTCCTCCCTTCAATGGTACATCTTTATTGGCCATAGTCCTAAGCCTAACCCCACTAATATATATATTTTTTAAATCTCCCTTTTCCCTTCTAAGTCCACCCTAATTATATTTATTTTTTATTTTATGCTGATTATTAAAAGATAAGAAGCCAAGGGTTTATTAACATTTAGATTCTTATCCTGCAGAAGAACGGAAAAACTTTGATTATTGCTCATAAACTCATCCTTCTCTAGCATTGGGGTTATCCATCTCTCTCTCTCTTCACTAAATAAAGGACGTTAGTGAACCAAGGTGCCTATGTTCCCTACAAAAGCACCACCGTCCTGAAATAGGGACTCCAGCAAATTGGCCTTTTACTTTTGGTGATGGTATGACATTTAATCTGGCAGCCCAAAAAATACCGCAGTATCTGGACATAGTCCATAACAGAAGGGTTACTGGAGGTTCTAGTTTATCATAGGAAAGACAACATACCCTTCTCGCTCTCAGATGTGTACTTCTAAAATATAATTCTAATAACTGTTTTTTAACCTGTGCCAATTAGGGATGTGTGCTCGGTATATACTGAGCTGAATAAATACCAAAAAAATATTTTTCAGTGATCTGTATTTGGCTACTAAAACAGCCGTGCCCAAATAAAAGCCAATATTATTCAACACTTATTTGGGCACAGCTAGAAGGCATTTAAGGAGCTGCAGTGGCTCAAGTGGTTAAGACGCTGAACTGCAGGCTGGAAGGTCGGTAGTTCAGCAGCTTGAGACCCAAGTGCCACATGACAGAGTGAGCTCCCATCTCTGGTTCCAGCTCCTGCCAACCTAGCAGTTTGAAAGGAAGAAATTGAAAGTAATTTATTTATTTATTTATTATTATTTTATCCCGCCCTCCCGGCCAAGACCAGTTCAGGGCGGCTTACAAACGGATAACATTCCCATAATACAATCACAATAAAATCACATACATAAATACAGCATTAAAATTCCAACAAGATAAAGTGCTAGCAACATTTATCATATTCCGATTGACTCTTCGGCCTTCTGCAGCTATCTCAGGTCATTGGCACAGGCTGTGTTTGAGAGACCTGCAGGCCAGGGCTCCACTAGAGTAGATACTAATTGTTGGCGGTGGAGGTGGTAGTGGTGGCGGCTCCAAAGATACCGCTTCGGTGGGAAGGTAACAGCATTTCGTGTGCCTTGGCATTTAGTCATGCCAGCCACATGACCATGGAAATGTCTTCGGATAGTGCTGGCTCTTCGGCTTGAAAACGGAGATGAGTACCACAATCCTAGAGTCAGATTTGATTGGCTTTCGAGCAAGGGAAACCTTTACCTTTACCTAAAAGGCATTTAAAGAGACCACAGTCTCTTTAAGTTCCTTCTGAGTTTCCTGAATATTTACCCAAATCCCAATACAAAACCGATATTGGTATCTGGGAATATTCAAGAATACCGATATTTTCCGGGTCCAATAGAACTGAGTAAGAGTCACACCAGAAGTATGGAGACAGGAATTGCCATGCTGTCTTTCAAGAAAAAAAAAATTCTTAGTAGACCTTGTCACTTCACAGTAATACAAAGGCTTTATATTTCTCTTTATAGCTAAGTTTTCCATGCCATTACTATTCCATGCCATTACTATCATCTATACTGACATGTGGCAGCATTCCCTGATTAGAACCCATTTATACAAAGGGAAAAAAAAGTTATAAATGTACAGCCAAGAACCACTTAAGTGGAATCCCTAGTACTGGATATGCTCCTGGTAACTGAAATAGAGAAGTAAAAACAGTGGCTTAGGAAAAACACAGCAGTATAGTGGTTTTGATTAGACTATGCAGCTAATGAACTACTATTAACATGAATGCTTGTAAGTAAAGGAAGTTTAGGGTAACTGACCTAGCAAACTTACAAGCTAAATGTTAGTAACTTTCAACTGTTTTAGTGCTATTCACTTTAACAAGCTGGAATAAAATGGAATAAAACTGTTTTAAGGTGAGGCTTCTTACCATTGCAGCCAGCCACATGATTTCTACATTCTTTCTTTTTTTAGCCTGAATATTTTGATGCAGATTTTCTAGTAATCCTTTTAAGTCATTCTGTTCTTGAAAATGTGGTAGGCCTGGAAAGGAAAAGGAAGCAGCTAGTGATAATAGTTATGTTGAGCTGAGGGCCTACTATGCACGGGTGTTTTCCCTCACTTTCACTGTGCATGTCTGTTAGGTTTTCTTTGTCATTCTGCATTGATTTTCCTCCCTTCAGTGCTCAGTTTGCTTTCTGGTTGCTGTTTCCCCGGGTTTTCTAAGAGTGCTTTTGTGCCAATTTCCCCCTTGTTTTGCTTCCAAGCCGAAGGTAATTTAAAAACATACAGATTCCCTTGGATACCCCCCATTTATCCCACCTCCCGAAGGTCACTCCCCACCCACATTGAGATTCTTCCACCCATTCTGCACCTCCTGCCATTCTCCCCTTTCATCAGTATACAAGCTCCATTTCCCCCTTGTTTTTAAATTTTATTTTTTTTTACAAGTGGCATGAGTCTAGTGATATGAGACTATTGCTAGTCTTTGATCACTGAATTTAAAAAAATTAAAACAATAAGGGAAAGTTTAAAAGAAGAAGAAGAAGAAGAGATTGGATTTATACCCCGCCCTTCACTACCCAAAGGTGTCTCAGAGCAGCTTACAAACTCCTTTCCCTTCCCCTCCCCACAGCAGACACCCTGTGAGGTAGGTGGGGCTGAGAGAGCTCTTGACAGAAACTGCTTTTTTTCAAGAACAGCTCTTATCAGAACTACGGCTTGCCCAAGGTCATCCAGCCAGGTGCAAGTGGAGTGGGGAATCAAACCCGGTTCTCCCAGATTAGAGTCTGCGCACTTAACCACTACACCAAACTGGCTCTGCATGAGGTTGCATGAGGTTGCTGCATGAGGTTGAGTTCCCTTCTGGTATTGACTTGAAGGGGGATTGGAGAGGCACAAACAGCAGTGTCCCCAGTGCAAAAAAAAAAAAAGAGAGAGAGAGAGGATTTCAGTGCTGCATGCAAACAAAATAAAGGGGAGACTGTCAGTGCAGAATGAAATTGACATGAGATGTAAAGAGAGAGAGAGACACTGGGATGGGAAGCCTAAAGCTTTGAAAACATTTCCCCCTTTAATGCTTTAGTGAACAAAGTTTGGGAGGGGGCATTTTGGCAGCCTCTGGAAGCCTAACATTAAAATGACAGCTGAGCCACATGGACCTTCTGTGAACCACCAAACTTAAAAATTGTTTGGGATCAATCCATTTGAGATCAATCCATCTGCACAGGACAGGCTTTAAAAAATTGCCAAGATCACAACCAGTGTGCAGGATCAAACTAGAGAATCACAAAGAGAAAACCACACAAATTTGCAAGGAAGGGCAGGAAATTAGCGTCACTATGCAACTGAGCTAGAGCATCAGTAAAAATACCCCCCTATTTTTTTCAATATAGTGGCACAAGACTGAAAAAGCTCTCCAGAAGACTCTTCCCCCATACAAATTGCAGCCCTGTGCAAAGTGTGGTGGAGTTGCAGCTGACTTTGTACATGGGTGCATGTGCACACACATATATTGCCAATGATCACAGCTTGCAATGCCAGTGTCAGTAGGTACTACCGTGCATTCTGTACACCCTACATATCCCCCTATTTTATGAGATTGTGTGCCTCTTTCCCATTTTTCACAGTGGCTGATAACTCAGCAGAGCATCCCCTAGTGCTCTGCAGCTGCTTGTCAGTTTAAAAAAAAATCTTGTCAATTTCAATTTCGGGTTCCCCCTCCTTCCCTGCATTCCCTTCTGTTCCCTTTCATTCAACCAACTAATGCTAAAATGCATGTGCAAAACCTGAACTGTGATAGGGCGTAATTTTTTAAAACTTTGGACAACACCCCCCACATGTCACAAGTGACATTCCACCCCGACTTAGGAACATGTATTTTTAAAAATTGTAACTGTAGGAAAAAGAATGGTACATAAGGCAGGTTCAGAATCTGAAGTCAAGATTAAAGGCTACAGCTCTGAAAATGTGCAGTAAGATGTGCGTGCGTAATGGGCCGAGGATTTCTTCACTAAAGAAGATCTTCAACAGTGTAAAGTCTCATTTGGAATTCATGAGCATTTTCATCAAACATAGCAATGCCATCGTTTAATGACTGAGAAAACAATTTTGCTACCGAAGGGCTTTCTTTTGATGCACCAAACATCTTCAGTATTTGTGATCAGAATGGGAATAGGAAGAGTTCCACAACCTACTACTTCTTGCCTGTTCCATCTTGTCACCATCCTGTCACCCCTTTCTTGTGCTGATCTTTGCACTTTCACAGTATCTTTGTGCAAAGAACAGATGATCAATTGGGAGCAAACGAAAGACAAGGGCCCCAGTCACACTGGGGGGAAAGGTGCGGCTGAAGTGTGGCTTTTTTGAGCCGCATCAAAAGAGAAGTGCGGTGGCAGGATCAGACAGATCCCCCGAACCACTGCGCAGTTGCTCCCCGGCATGATCAGATGATGGGGGGAAGCCACAGACGGGTGAGCGAGGCGAGCCCTTTGCGCATGTGTGCGCCTGCGCAGTTTGGCAGGGGGCCTTGCATGCTGCCGGAGACGGGCGATCCGGCGATCCCACGGCCGCCCCTGCTGCAGATTTTCTGGTAAGTAGTAGTGTTTTGTAGGGTTTTTTTAAATCTGCATCTTCGGCCAGAAGAGATGGATCGGGGACAGGTGTGCGCCGCTTCCCAGATGTTGCGGTGTGATCGCGCCCACTTGATGTGCCCCTGATCCGTCCCTCTCGCAGATCAAAGCCTGCCATGTGACCGGGGCCAAGGAATGTTTTTTTTAAAAAGAATCTACACACAGGCTGGTAGGACAATTTATAAGGTACGTCTGTGATGGTGACAAGGTTGAAGTACATAGTGTTCCTTATGGTGACTTTGTCCAGGCAATGGTAATATGGGAAAGTTAGAACCTGTTTTATATTGTACTGGGGGGGGGGGGGAGGATCCAAAAAAGAGTCTAACCCACACAAATTATTTATCTGCTTCCAAAACCAAACAAGGAGCAGTGCCTGTCTTTTCCTCCACAATGAAGCCAGGACAGCAGCAGTAGTATCTCTCTCCTCCGTCTCCTAATAGTGCACGGTCGATGCCTGCACAGGAGGAGCACAGAACTGCTTTCTTAGTTTCAGCCTTACTTCCAATTGGCTGGAGAACCCGGCCCCAGCTAATCTCATCCTGTGACTTACCTGAACTGGAGAAGGGGCCAGGACAACATATTCACAGTTCTATGGCTGTGAATGCATTTTTTTTTTTGAGGGAGGACAACAACACTGAAATAGAGTACCGACGAGCACACTGCCCAGGAGTAGCAGCCATGGCAGTTCTTCATGAATGGCAGAACAAACCAGATGTGATTCTTACTCTTTAGAGCAACAGCTAAACCTCACAGAGGATCAATACTTTTCCTGCTTCATTTCCCATTTTTACAATCCACTTGGATTAAATGGAAAGCCATTTTCTAGGTTCTGATCCAAAGTTCAAATCTCACAGTAAACTCAAGTTAATATTTTTCAGTAGTATTTACCAAGGGCTCTACACTGCAAAAGTAAAGTATTAAGTAATTAGTTTGGTCATGATCCAGAAGGCACAGCATTCATATATACAATAAAGACTTTGAAAAAGTCAGCTCTCATCAGCTGCCTCCCCCCCCCCCCAAGCCTTCAAACAGCCTTTAAATTCTCCCAAGATGATAAAGCCTCTTGACATTTTGGTTGGAGAAGATTAAAGGGCGGCTGTGTATGTCTGCTGGATCATAGCCTGTAGGAATAATCCACTGAATATCTAAGAAGGGGGAAAAGACCATTTGTGCCTATGATATCACCAAATGGCAACATCAAAGGATTTAATTAGAGACAAGGCAATATCCTTATATCTAAGATAAATCTTATGACACTTTGTAATCTTAGTTGCTAGCAAGTATAACCTATCATAAGCACTTCTTGCAGTGAGTTTTACTGGTAAGCTCTGCTGCAAGAAGGCAACACCCAAAAGTGAGAAGAAGAAATGGTTGGTTTGAGTAGGCAATTAGAAAACCACAGAGTTTTAAGAATGATTTCTACAAGTCTTTTTTTGTACTCAAAAATAAAGTACATTCTTGCAGATTCTAAACTTTTAATGCTGACAACCAACCCCTTAAAACAAACATTCTTTCAGAGATATTTAATGAGATCTGTAATAACATTAATTTCTAAAACTGGCATTGTTGCTGCATCCATTCCTCAAATGGGCTTTCCATACCATTAATAAATATGTCACAAAATTCTTAAGATATTTATATGAAGGCTAGTTAACCCTAAAGCTGAGGACAGTGGGCACTTTGCTGCCTAGTGATAGTGTGCTTTCATTTGGTTTAAACTGAAATTTGCTAGCAATGGACTTTATATGGTGGGAACAATGACGGGTGTTAGATGCTGAAAGAGTCAAGACTGAGGTAGCAAGCCTTGGGGCGAGTGACTGTATTGTCATAAGGCACTGTCCAATCAGCAAGAATTAGCCAAACAAATCTTGAATGTGTTAATAAAAATACATAGAACTGGGTTTTTCCAATCTAAACCTGTTTATAGTGAATTAGTTAAATGCTTAAAATATACAAGCAACGTTCAGAATGCCTGAACAGCAACTCTGCTTATTTTACTTGAAGCTAAACGTTCCATTACTTTGGTTAAACAAAGATTGGGCTCTGCAGTTGAAGATTAGCTTTGCAGGAGATTGGCTGTCAGAGGATGTCCTCATTAGTATGTTTCAAACAACTTATTGGATCACTAAACATCAAGATACTGACTTGCTAAAGCAATCCTCCCTGGACTATTTGCACATCTAACTCTAATTTGTTCTCTTTCCTAAAAAAATCTTTATTCTCCAAAGGAAGTCTGCTTGTCAAGTCTGGAGAGTTGGGCTTGGGGGGAAATAATTAGAGAAGCTGGACCTGCTCAATTTCTATCAGGGCATTTACTGCTAAATTCCACTTGTTCAATGAACATCTGTATATCAGCTCACTCACACGATTTAACTGAAATCTGGGCAGCTTGCACATTCTCTAAACCCAATTACATACCAGTAGAACAAATTGTATAATTTTTTAAGAACAGATTTTCCATGCTTTGCCATGATAGAATACTACTCATTGGATAACCATCAGAACCACATTTCCCCCCTCTCTTCTTCTCTGCAGGTAGTCAATTTTTTGTGGTATCAGAAACATGGGAAAATACCCCATTATTCTTGAAGAATCTTCTGAAAGTTCTTTTTGGAAACTTCATTAGCAAGAATTTGGTCTAAAGCTACTGTACCAATTTTGCTACCTTCAGGCTAAAGAGTCTCCCTTATATAGCACTTAGATTTCCACTCACTTTCCGATTACAGAGATGTCTATTTCAAATATCAAAGCCAGAACATAGCAGCAAAAGAAAAAAGCAATTTTCTGATTAGCTGTCATGGTAAAAAAAAAAAAAAGTTTAACTTGATTAGCACTAATTCTGGTTGTCACTGAAGATTTCAGCAAGCAACAACCTCCTAACCTACGTGCAGTCTAATTACACTGTTAGGCAGCAAGGACGTAGGTTTTGGCTTCTGTTCAGCAAACGAACCCACAAAACATTGAGTCAGGCCTGTCATATCAGCATGAAGGCAATCTGACACAACAATAATGATTAAAAAATGCCGCACAGCACCAAGAATCACCTGCTTTAAATAAATTCCTGTTGAATAATAACAGTATACTTATATGTAACAGTATATTTGGCAAATGTAATCAGGGTTTAACTTGAACTAGGGCTTATCAGGGTGCAGTACCAGAATATATTCTCAATGCAAAGGCCGGGAAACAGTAGACTGCTTGAGTAAATATATGCAGAAGAGATTCCCAAAGCTACTTGGTGTCGACCAATATTCTCTTATATTTGAAGTATTTGATCATCGTACTCAAACATGAATGAAGCAGGCAATGGGAAAATTAGTTCACCTAGTCTGGCACAGGTAGCAACTATGGCAAAGTGAGTTTCTCCACATCAGCAGTGTTCCCTCTAAGATGAGTTAGTGTGCGTAGCTCAGTCTTTTTAGCCCCGGCTCACACATTTTTGTCTTAGCTCAGGAAGGATGGCTCCAGAGCAAACTAATTTAACTTTAATGGCAGTAGCTCACAAAATAGAATTTTTGCTCACAAGACTCCACAGCTTAGAGGGAGCATTGCACATCACTAACTTGTTTGTTGTGATGTATGAATGCAGCCCTGCTTTCCCTAGAGAGCACCCATGTGCATATCACAAGACGTTAATGCAAAAACAAATATACTGCAGGCAGGAACAAAGATCAACAGAAGAATGGGCTAAGTGGATATGGCAGAAAACTAATTGCAGTGTTAGAATTCTTCATGACTGTGCTGCCTCAGATCCAGAGCAGTGAAGCAGAAAGAAGGAAAGAGGGTTCTATTGATCAACCCAGATGATCTCAAGCTTAATGCAGTCCCTATGAGAAGCAACACCTAAATCTTTACTATATCCTTTAAGAAAAAATAAAATTTCTCTGACATGCTGCACAGTTGTGCAGGTTATAGAAAGAAAAAGGAGCTGTGCACTCTCCGTTTTGTTTTTTAATCCCTAACTAAGTGAGAGAAGAACTATGAAGAGGACTCAGAATCCTCTGGGTTAAGTTCATATCAGAAAGGCGCTACTGGGACTTTGAAGCAGAACACAAATTGCCCAGCCTCATGATCAGTGATCCAACTCCCCAGGACAAGTTGGATGAAACAGAGACTTTTATTACTACAATCATTTTAATTAGTATAATCAAGGCACTTGAGGATAAACTGTAGGAAATAATTTCATAATTAGACTGACTGCACATCAATGAAAACATGCTTTCAATATTATTTCATCTAATCCTTGAGCCAATTCCTACTGATAACAGTGGGAAGTTTTGGGAGACTAACAGGGCAATATTTGTAATACACCATTAGGTTTGTGATGAGAGTTATGAATGAAAATATGAGCACTAAAAGGTAGCATATAGATTAGCTCCATTTGCAACCATTTATGTGTCTGAAATTTTTGATATGCTTCTGATATTGTGTTGTGATCCACCCTGAGCCCGCTTCTAGGGAGGGTGGAATATAAATCTGAATAATAAATAAATAAACAAACCAAGTTGGGATAAATAAAATACTCACAATCAGGAGGCATTTTTTCTGTGAACAACTTGTAATATTCTTTTAGCATCTCCAAATTTTCTTGGTTAATACTTTCTTGCAAAGAGGTATCTCCAAACCTGAACAATTGCAAAAGACCAATAGGCATAAAACCAGCTCTATAAAAGCAGACATGAGCCACCCAAAGGAAAGGGGCTGGAAACACAAAAACTTCAGCACTGGATTCCATCGTTACTATGATTCACTCTCGTAGTAGATCTTAGTTTTCCCATTGATTTTACTAGGCTGAGAATCCCATCTCCCACACCATACTGGGGTCAAGGAATGCTTTTGCCAATGATCCTTTCAAAGGAACTAAGGTTGTAAGGCACAATGGGAGCTGTGACTTTTAGGTGCCCTGTGTGCCTTAGCCAATAGGAAGGGTTCAGGCCGTGATCTTCTGAGGGCTGCTGTGCCTTCTCTGCCAGAGTTTTGCTTGGTGTATCCCTTCCTTTAGTTGGCTGTATGGGATTAATTTAGGGTTGCCAATACCCCCCTGCAGGAAGTGGGGGATCCCCCAACACCAGGCCCCACCCCTGCTGATCAGTTGGCTGGCAGGGGGACTGGTTAGGAGCAGGAGGGAGGCCCAGGCTACATTGCTGGTGATGTGGTGACATCACTTCTGGCGTGTACTGGACTGGAAGTGACATCATCATGCTGGCGATGTCACAGTGATGTTCCGGTATATAGGCAAAAACTCTATGGTAGAAGCAATTTTTACCAGAGTTTTTGCCCAAATATCAGAGCGGTGCTGCAACAGTACAACGTGATGAAGCTACTTTCAGTACACACCGGAAACATTGCCATATTGCTGGTTACATAGCCTGGCATCAAATCCTGAAACAGGCATCAATCCTGGAACCATTCCAGTGCCAGCCAGGTCTAAGTCAAGGTGTGAGAGAAGGCTACAATACCCTGAACCAGCTCTGAATAATTGGCCCTATCTAAACTCAACATCAAGTTTTAAAATGTCTTAAATTGTGACAATGAAAGAAATTAAGACTTTGCTTCTAAACATATTTACTTGGAAGTACTTTTGACTGAAATCAGTGGGAATTAATTCCAAGTCAATTGGGCCTAAAGAAGCAACCCAGCATTCACTAAACAAAGACACCAATAGAACCCTCCAGCTGTTCTCAAACATTCTCTTCTACCACTCCAAGTTTTAAAAAGGGAATAGGGATCTTGCTACTGAGACCTTGCTCAAAAGAATTCTCAGTGGAAGTATCAGATGATAGTTATATCATTTGGATTACTTAAATTATTTAATTTACTTGTAACTCAATTGCCTAAAGATGACTTCTGGTATCAGTGATCTAAATTCTGCATGTGACAGAGAAAATATAAGAACATTCATAGAATGAAATGCTGTCCTTTAAGGAGAAGCCTAATCACACACATTTGCAACCATCAGGACTTTTCCCTAGCATTCTTTTTACACAGTAAGTCTCACAACCAACCTGAGTGTTTCTCCTGTGTTCCCTTTTTGTACCAATAATAGAATTATCTCAAACTAGGAATAAGGCTTGTTGTCGAAATAAATAGGACGAGCTCTAGAAAGAGGCTCTGGGTGGGTGCCCTGGCCTTGGGCACTCAGCGTCAATTTGCTGTGGTGACCTCAGCAGGGTATAATGACACAGAGCTTACTGTTTTCTCCAGGGGAACTGATCTCTGCCATCTGAAGAGCAATTGTAATTCTGAGTGATCACCAGCCCTCCCCTGGAGATTGGCAACAGTGGTTCCCCAGGAGTAAATGGCTGTTTTGGAGGGTAGAGTCTATGGCATTGTACCGGTCTTGGAGGTACCAACTCTATCTCCTTCCCAGCCAACCATCAACATACCGTTATCAACCCATCTGACTTCAGCTTTCCATCTCCCCCTTCACACCTGCAGCCTCTACCTAGGAAAAGTACAGTCTTTCTCCTCTTCAGTGGGGACCCAAGCAGGAGGGGAAGCAACCTCAGCAGGGTATAATGATTCAGAGTCCACCCTGCAAAGCAGCCATTTTCTCCAGGGGAACTGATTTCTGCCATCTGGAGAGCAGATGCAATTCTGAGTGATCTCCAGCCCTCACCTGGAGATTCGCAATAATGGTTTCCCAGGAGGAAATGGCTAGTTTGGAGGGTGGAGTCTATGGCATTGTACCTGTCTGAGGTCCCACCCCTCCTCAAACCCTCCAGGCTCCATCCCTAAAATCTCCAGAAATTGCCCAGCCTGGAGGTGGCAACCCTATCTCCTTCCCAGCCAACCATCAACATACCGTTATCTGCCCCCTGACTTCAGGTTTCTATCTCTTCTCCCCTCCCTGTAGCCTCTACCTAGGAAAAGTACAGTCTTTCTCCACAGTGGTGACCAAAGCAGCTCACATCATTATCCTCTTCCCCTTTTGATTTGCATATCAACCCTGTGAGGTAGGTTACACTGAAAGTCTGTGAGTGGTCTGAAATAACACAATTAGCTTCCACCGGAAGAACTTGGGTCTGGAATAACCTGCTCTGAAGCGCTAACTTCTACATCACACTGGCTGTCTTGGGGAGGCCACCTCAGCAGGGTATAATGACACAAAGCCCACCATATTCTCCAGGGGAACTGATCTCTGCCATCTGGAGAACAGTGGTAATTCTGAGTGATCTCCAGCCCTCACCTGGGAATTGGCAGCAATGGTCCCCCAGGAGGAAAAGTACAGACTTTCTCCGCAGTGGAGACCAAAGCAGCTTAATCATTCCCCCCCTTTTGATCTGCATAACAATCCTGTGAGGTAGGTTAGGCTGAAAGTCTGTGACTGGTCCAAAATCGCCCACTCAACTTCCACAGCAAGAACCTGGGTCTGGTAGACCCTGCTCTGAAGGGCTAATTGCTACGCCTAGGGTAGCCAACCACCACGTGGAGCTTGAAGATCGCCAGGTATCACAACTGAACTTCAGACAACAGATCTCTCCCCCCCCTTGGAGAAAATAGCTACTTTGGAGGGTGGACTATGGCATTCTATTCAGCTGAGGCCTCTCCCCTCCCCAAACTCTGGCTTCCTTAGACTCCACCACCGAATATCCAGGAATTTCCCAACCTGGAGCTGGCAACCCTAGCAGGACTGGCCCGAATGAGTTCCCCACAAAGGCTTGGAAAGGGCTTTGTCTTTTTACTGACAGGACCAAGTTTGGTTGTTTAAAATGTTCTCTGTAACCCATTTTTTAAAATTATCTTAAATACGGAATTGGTGGAAGTTTGAAAAAAAAATTATCTGAGTACCATGCATTAGCATCTCTAAGAGATTTTCTTCTACAGTCATGTTTACTTAATATGCCCTAGATCTACAAAATGCTTCTGGTGGAATACTACAGTCTGAACCCTGTTGTCTGGGCAGATGTATACATATCCTTCCAAAATATTCACCATCATAAGAGTGAATATATTATATTAACAGACTTTTTCTTTATTAAGATTTGCCCTTAACAAAAATACAAGACTACATATACTGGGATGAAAGTTGGTTAAAAAAAACAAAAACACCATGTGTGGCGTTTCAGTGTTCAGGTGCAAGGTTACAACAGTATGAATGGCACAGCAGACAAATTTTAGGCACAGATTAGATTGGATCTTGTGGAAATGGTAGCCTATTGTTTAAGTGGGCAAAGTTCCCTTTTTGTGAAGACCACTACCAAAAAGAGTCCTATATAAGAATATATGCATATGTAAGTGTTACCTCATGCTTAAATCCCAGGCTTAATATAGCTCTGGGAGAAAAAGGAAGGAAGACAGATAGTGAGATAACAACAGTGCTACCTCCGAGTCTGGATGCCAGGTCTACTTCCCATTGATTCCTAAGAACAGAAGAGAAGCCAATGCTGGATCAGGCCAATGGCCCATCCAGTTCAACACTCTGTCACATAGTTGCCTAAAATACCAGGTACCATCAGGAGGTCCATCAGTGGGGCCAGGACACTAGAAGCTCTCCCACTGTTGCCCTGCCCCCCAAATACCAAGAATACAGATCATCCCTTGCCTCAGAGTTCCTATCTATAGCTCTTTACCTTTCTGCAAGTGTTTGCTGTTCATTGATTCCAACATTGAAGAGGACAGGGTATACACGGAGTGGTTTTCCTTCTTTAATTTCTTGTGGAAGCAGTTCAAACATCTTTTCTGGAAGCTTGATTTCTATTACATAATGACCCCTAGAAAAACAAAAATAAGACTAACCTGTTACTTTAAAAATAAATAAATAAATAATTTACTTTTGAAGCCTGCCCTGGAGTAGAGTTCCTGAAAAATAATAGAAACAGAAAAATAATAAAGGTTCTGGCCTACCTCAGAAACAATGAAATTTCCCTAAGTAACTACTTAAACTTCACCAAATTTAAATAAATGCAGATAAAGTTCACTACTGTCATCCTACCTCAAAAAAGTCAGAGACATAACACAAAAAATTTCCCATGAAGTCTGTTAAGTCCGCCATGGAAAAGTTGGAGTCTGTTGTGTAAATTGTCCCAACACTCTTAATTAATCTCACTGAAAAAGTTAGGAGCACACACAGCTGTCTACATTACTTTGACTGGGGAGGCCTGGGGATGAACTGGCATTCATACACCAGTGTAGTGTAGTGCCTAAAAGAATGAGCTGTGATCCAGTATGTCCCTCATTCAAATCTAATCTCTGCAATGAACTCACTATACAGGCAAGCCATTAGGGTTGCCAGGTCCTTACCTCATGCTGGCGGAGGATGGGAGCTTTCTGGGAGTGGGGGGGGGGGTGACATTGCCATGTGCAATGCCATCATACCAGGGAAATCGTGTGGTGATGCTCTGGTTTTTGGGTAAACTCTATGGTAAAATTGGGCTCAAACCATTGAGTTTTGCTGCCAAACCAGAGCACCACTGCATGACGTACCCGGAGTGCTGCCAAACCAGAGCACCACTGCGTGACGTACCCGGAGTGCTGCCAAACCAGAGCACCACTGCGTGATGTACCCGGAGTGAAGATGTCACTTCCCCATGATGTCATCATGTCGGGGACATTGCATGGGGTTGTGGCTTCAGAGCAGGGCTTCCCCCCACCAGACAGTTGGGAGCAGGGCTTCCCACCACCAGAAGGTAGGCAAATGCCCGTGAAATCGGGGAATCCCCCACTCCCACCTGAGGACTGGCAACCCTACAAGCCATGCACTCTCTCTCTCTCTCATTCTTGCATCCTTTGGGCCTACCCTCAGACGGCTGGTGTTAAGGATTACAACAAGAAATGTTCTGAATATTACAAGTGATTTGCAAATGCTAAGGATTATTACTATGATTGTTTCCCACAAATAATTAGGCTCAGGACTGAGAGAATAGGAAATCTGAATTCACCCTGTAACTGTAGATTCATCTAGAAGGGTGGAGGGTGGACTCTATGGCAGCACATCCCAGCTGAATTCCCTCCCCTTCCTAGACTCCACGTTTCCCCAGACTGCCCACAAATCTCCAGGAATTTCCCACCCAGAGCTGGCAAACTTAAACTGCTTGTACCCATCTCATGCTTTGAAATTTGTGGATTTAAATGAGTAACCTCTAAATCTAAGTTCAAAAACACCAATCTAAATGCAGAAATCAACGTTTTCATCCTTATTTTGAACAACCTTAAAGCTTACCGTTTGGAGACTTCTGGCGGCATGGCGCTGTGCCGCAGGCGTGTTTCTCGGGAGCTCTCGAGAACGCCCGGCTCGTGCGCGCTTACTCGGAGCCCCCCGAAATTCGGAGGGCTCCGCTTGGAGCCCCTGTAGGGAGCCCAAGGTAGGAGGCTTAACCGCCCCCCCCGTTTCCCTGGCAAGGACGGGGGGTGTCCGGTCTGCCCCGAGGCAGGAGCGCCACGGAGAACTTTCCTAAAGATTATAAAATATTGGAAGGATTTGAGGCACAACGGGTGTACCTTTAAGAGTGCGAGAGATAAGCGGACCCAATCCGGCGTGGAAATGGCGTTAATTGAGGCTTGTGCCCAGATACGGGACGCGATACTTACAGAACTCAAATCAGACAGTTTTAAAGAGATACTGAAAAGAGAACTAGAGAACTCTCTTGCACTGTTCTGGGATAAGACGCTGAAAAATGCACAATTCATTGGTACAGAGGGAAACCTCAAGACGAAATATACAAATGAGCTACAAAGACAAACAGAACAGCAGGAAGCTGAGCAGGAAGAAGATCCTCCGGTCTCTCAACATGTACCGCTACGACGAGAGGCAGAGTTGCAAAACACGGACGTTAGAATCATGGTTTTAGAAGATGAAAAAACATTGAAAAGATGCGGTGGAGGGAAAAGGCTACCATATACCACCCGGAAGAAAAATAAAAAGAGCAAAAGGATGATTGTACAGGTGAAACGACTAAGAGAACTTAAAGACTTGGAACTAAAGCGATACAAGAATGACGGCAGAGGAGTTAACCTAAAGGAGTACAAAGATCAGAGGCATCTGATAGAAAAGAAGGAAAATCAGTATAAAAAAGAAATTACTTATATGGTGACTCTGAGCGAGCTCTATAGATTGGGATGAGCAGAGGATGGATATATGTGGCTCAATAAGATATGCAAAGAGATATGATGTTTAGAAGTTGAAACACTGGTTGAACTAAGTTTAAGGTTAAATGGAATTTAAGGTGGACAGAAAATGTGGATGGCTGTTACTGCTTATTAACTTCATTTATTTATTTTTATGTAGATATATGAGCCATAATATGATGCGTGGAAATACTGGATGAATTAAGTATGGAATCTAGGATGGTCAGATGGATTGCTGATACTGTTTATTAATTAATTTTTACAAATTTCACTATACAGATGCATGAGTTTTTGCCGCTAGAGGGACAAAGATAGGAGGCATACTAAAAAAGGATGTTTGCAGATAGGATATTTAGCTTTTGATGTAAGTTTTGTTGTTTGAAGCATATGGGCTTGTTGAAACTTGAAAAACAAAAGATAAACTGCGTTTAACAAAAATAGCAGGAGCGAAATTGTACTAAATAATAGCATAAACCTCTGCCCACGAGTTTTGAGTTAAAAACACTGCGAGTTAGCCACTTGATCCTTTATCTTATAGAGGCAAAGAGATAGATATTGGTCTCATTCCAATGTAGGTGAGGTTGTACTTATTATTTACTGTTGCTGTATATATATTAGACTATGCTAGTCATATTAAGAATATTAAGTGATTACATTAAGCGTATTAAGTATATCAAGTGACTATATCAACTTTAAAATCAGATGAATTTAGTTTGTACCTGATTGGAAGGTGGAAGTGATTCAACTATTTGGAATATGGCTGATCAAGAGGATCATAGATTTGATTGATTAGAAGTTAGGTTTTTTCTTTTTGATATTGTTATATACGAGGGAGGTATGGTGAAGGAGTCATGTAGAATATGTAGAACTTGCTTATATATTTTTTTTTTCCTTGTCCTGGTTTATGTCTGTCTTGTGTTTAAAAACCCAATAAAAACTACTTATATAAAAAAAAAGCTTACCGTTTGGATACTAACATTTCATTTTGTCTTAAAATGATAGGGAATCTATAAGAAATGGGATCAGTAATTTAATTACAAACTGTCCCTTTATAATGACTGCTTCACTGAAGTGGAAAAAGGGGATTAAAAAGCAAAAGTCTAAAAATCTGAAGAAAAGCTTTTGGCCTTCTCATCTGCTTTCAATAGTATAAATGAAGGGAGATCAACTTCTGAAGCAGTCTTACAGAGCTACTTCTTAGAATGGATTTTTTTCTTAATGCCAGTTCAATTATATGTGCTCATAGCAGGAAGAAAAAGGCACTTCCATCAGTAGAACAGAACTTTCCTGCCTCTCCCCCTCCATTAATATTCTGGAAATTTGCCTCTTGTGGAAAGGAAGAGAAGAGAAGAAGAAGAAGAGATTGGATTTATACCCCGCCCTTCACTTGGAGTCTCAGAGCGGCTTACAAACTCCTTTCCCTTCCCCTCCCCACAACAGACACCCTGTGAGGTGGGTGGGCTGAGAGAGCTCTGACACAAACTGCTCTTTTTCAAGGACAGCTGTGCCAGAGCTTGTGACTGACCCAAGGTCACATCAGCAGGTGCAAGTGCAGGAGTGGGGAATCAAACCCGGTTCTCCCAGATTAGAGTCCACGCACTTAACCACAACACCAAACTGAAACCAGGAATAGCATGAGGGGCAAATAGCAGGGAGGGGAAATAGGCAGAAAATACACTTCCCCTTCTATTAGTTAAAAAATTATTCTGGATCCAACCCAGACTAAAGAAAAGTAGGACACTTAAATCTCATTTAGATCAAACAGAACTAAATACCTGTGGTCCCAGTTCTACTGATTTACTTGTGGATTTTATTCACAATTTCTCATATTCTTAAGGATTAAAGTTTCTGCTATTGCAGAGGAGTTTTATAAACACACACACACAAATATAGGGTTGCCAGCCTCCAGGTGGTGGCTGGAGATCTCCTGGGATTACAACTGATCTCCAGACGATAGAGATTAGTTCACCTGGAGAAAATGGCTGGTTTGGAAAGTGGACTCTATGTCCCTCTACAAACCCCACTTTCTCCAGAATCCACCCCCAAAGTATCCAGGTACTTCTGAACCCAGAGCTGGCAACCTAGTATTTTTATGAAACTTAAATGTTACCACAGCTTTTATTCTTATAATGGATTTCTTGAACCTGAAAGACATCTGGTGTTGAGGTAGCACTTACTGAAAACAAAAGAGGAATTTGCAAGAGGAATTCTTAGGATAAACATATATCTAAAGAAAAAAAGTGCTACATCCCCAATTCACTCCCCCATGGAATATGAATTTAGGTTTATCTCTTTGATGGGAGTAGCACATACTAATGATTTAAATGTATTAAATTTTGCAGTTCTGAAATATTAGGGTTTTTTTACTAATAGCTGCTTTGGTAGATGTTAAATTTTGAATTTACATATTCATATTTATTTATTTTGAAAACGTTGCCCTATTTCTTAGCCTCCTAGAATTATATCAAATGCATAATAAAATTAATCTAAAAAGACACTCAAAAATAATCTTTAAATGGGGGGGGAATCACAAAACTATAGCAACTCTGATGGCAAACGGAGAGCAAACTGACAAAATTGTGCTTGCCACTCTCTGCAAAGGCTGGCAATGACCTGACAAAGAGTTCCAGAGAACCAACACCAAAAG